CTTTGGATATCCAGTTGCGGAACTGGCTGTCTTTCCGACGAAAATGGCCGTCAGCGTCGGCATGTTGATGGGTTGGTCGCTGGCATGGAGTTAGTTGGAGCCGCAGAAGGCAGATACTCCCAAGCTCACCGAGTCACCCATCGTCTCGTTCTGGGGATTTGATTGCGGAGACTATCTGAGCAGGTGGAAGCTGGATGTCAGGAATTCAAGTGCGCCGAACCAATCGGGCAGGATATTGCACAGCTTCACGAGAATGGAAAGGTCTCTGGTGCTTGAGCTGTGGGATGCGAGTGATGTGCAGTGGATCTGGTGACACAGTCCAGCACACGACTGGGAGGATATATGCAGTTCAACGATGAGACGAGGAAGAGCGAGAAGAGAGGATTTGAAACCCAGCTCGAGGCCTTGCGCAGGTCAATTGTTCAGCTGCATGTCGCACGTCTCAGCTTCCGGTGTGGTGCTTACTCGATACTGTTCAGGCTCTCCGCGCCCAATTCCGCCCCGCAAATGCATACGAGCCACACGTGCAGGAGGCTGGGATGCACTTCGGAGTCCGTACTTCTCATTCGAGTCTCTGGGCTTGACAGGTTAGGATAGGTCCATACTGATACAGCTTCATCCGAGCCTTTTTGGGGGCCGATTGAGTCTCTCTGGCTGGCCCATAGTTGGTTGTGTTGGAGCTTTACCAGTTCGCTGAATTGTCCACGCCGTTGGGGGCACCAAGTTGACCGAGCTATGCCTAGGTAGCTCTGGGAAACAATACAGACGTCATGGCCAGGCCGAATTGAGGCTGTCGTCGATGCTGGTGGCACCTTTTCGGGCTTACAGATGCCAGCAAAGAAGGCGTCAGGTCCATACCAGTCAAGTCTTCAGCCATATATTACAAAACACTCGGTCGTTTGGAACAATAACTTCCTCCATACAAGTAGGTGAGCTAATCCCAGTGAAATTGCGAGGAGAGACACCTCTTACCTAACTCTGCCAATCCTCGTGATCCGATTCGAAGATTGAGAGATGAATAATGGGCGCCGTCAGTTCCGCTGCTGTTACGTATCATTTCAGATGCTGGCAGAGAAGTGATCGACCAAATATGAGAATGGGCGGAGAGTCGAACAACATTGAACCACGACATGTCGAGATATGAGGCGGTCAGTCGCCCTGATGTCAAAGAAAAGACGAACAAAGAAACGGGTTTGATGCGGACGCAGTGGGCATTGAAATCCGACTGCCATCTGCTGCCTCGAGCTCTGTTATCCTCGCATATGTTCGGCTGCTGGACATGCGACACCAACCAAGATCCAGCAGGTACGGCCTAGAGGGGTCCTACGATTCGAGCCAATTATCCCTTAACACGGCTCTCGTTCGCTCTCTTCGAGGAACCTCTGGCTTCACGTCCAAAGGGGCGCGTCGAATTCACAGTGCACCTAGATGTATGTCGGCGGTCAGATTGACCAACTGCCCGGCCTGAGAACCGTATCATTTCCCCTCCCCTGACCCTGCTTTGCTGTCTCTCCTGCCCCCTCGCCACAGATCGCAATCAGGGTTGACTCGTAGTTGCGCATGCTTATTCAGAATCGCTTAGCGGAAACTCCTAGGCCTCAAAGGAAAGACCTAGGGCCAATAAAAGAGGAAGGTGCCAGACCGCTGTGCATGAGTCCCCTCGCCATGGGTGGTCGAGATATGGCGATCGGCAATGCCTCGCATGGATGACTCTGCATGGAACATCGGCTGCGTTGACCTGTGGAGGGAGAGAGATGTGACCCCACGGGCCAGGTCAGAGAACAAGCCACATCCGTCTAGGTGCAGGGTAAACATATCAAAATGTCGGAGCATCCGAAACCTTTGTTGACCCTGTTTGGATTTGTCAAGGAAACCACGTTATCGACCATCCCGGCCATTGTGATAGAGAGCTATCTTATCCGATAAGAGCGACGGCCCGTCCTGCAAGATGGCGAGATGGCGAGCTTAATTCAGCATCTGGGGGTTTCGGCGTGTTTGTGGGCTGTGTGATGAACGGGGTGTTGTTGATCATGAGCCCGACGAAGTTGCTTCTGCGCATGTGAAGATAACGCAAGGACGAGAGAGGGCACATTTTGCCCGAGAGGCATTGGCCGTCGAAAAACGTATGGGATGAATGGTGTCAACCTTGAATCCTTACAACGAGGACCATGTTGCAGGGCTCGCAATATCATTTGTCTGCGGAGTGGGCAAATGTCAAAGCCAGGAGTCGCATGCATCGCTTCGCCGCTCTTTTTCATTGCTTGCTTGGAGCATTTCCTGGAGTGCCAACGACGATGTTTCTGTCGTCCACCACCACCATCATGTGGCGCCTGCATCATGCAGGAAAAGCTTTCAACTCGACACCAGTGCCGCCAGTGCCAGCTGACAGGTTGTGTCCTTGGTGGTCTTGGATTGGCTCCCGGCGGAGAGCTCTAAAGGCAAGCCGAACATTGCATCAACTTCGAGCGATAAATGGCGAAGGGCGGCCATCCCCTCACCGTACTCGTCAATCGCGCAAACAAGAACTGATCTGCAAAGCATGCCATGGCCTTGGATGCAAGGAGTCTCTTCCACTTCTTCTGTAATGGCCGCGCGTGGCCTGAGTCTGACTGCCCAATACGGGCATTCTCCTGGCCTAATGGGCACTTGTCGACCCTTTTGAAGTGCCCAACCGGATCCGCCCTCCTTCATTTCTCCGGCTGTCGGATCCCCTCGGTGGTCCCCTCTTGCAGGCTCGCAGGTTTCTGACACGGACCCTTCGCTGAGGGTTCCTGGAGTTCCGAGATTCGGGTAATGGGACCTCCTCCAACTGAAATGATGCAACACTGGCAGGGATCCGGGGCACCTGGGGATCGTGAGCCGTGGGACCTGTTACTCCATAGGGATGCCCCTATCCGCAAAGGACCCGATAAGTGGTCCGTGAAGATTGGGACAAGTTCGGGGGTGCACGGATGCATCCCGGTGGACATGTTAGACAGTGTATAGCCATGTTTCGTCTGCTTGTTAGACTGACGGGGAGAGAAGGTTTGGTATCTAAGTGCTCGCGTTAGGTGTGGGCGGTGGTGACTTTGGCTCCTCCCAATCTGCTGGCTAAGTATCAGTAGCCGGGGGCAGATCCGAGGACTCATAAGCAGAGCAGCGAGAGAACGCCGAGGCGGTTTTAGGGAACGGGAGAGGAGAGTCAGAGGGAAACTTGAAAGATGAGAGGAGATGGGAGAGAAGAGTGAGTGAGAGCTGTGCTAGCTAACTGCGGTCATGGACTACCTGTACCTAATCGCTAGGTACGGGGTACTTGGGACTGTGACTACGACCTATCGAGACAACTGGTTACAGTCACTCTGTAGTCTGTACAAGAGCTGCAACTCGGCTCGAGTGGCTAAGTACTACCTACCCCCACCAGCCGTAACTACAGTGACTTTGGGCAGTTCGAGGTACCTCGTACCTAGTGGTTATATCATCCAAGGCACCAAGTGCGCGGCGCAGGCGTAGGCACAGGCACGGGTGCAAGTGGAAGTTGCAGAACGCAGCTGCCGGTGCATGCCGCAGGCAACAAGTCGAGTACCTACGTAGGTAGGCTTTAACTAGCAACGCAGCTTGTGGGCGAAAAGGGGACCCGTGCATCTGTCTTGGGGCCTTGCCTGGGGCCTGGGGGCTTGGGGTGGTGAGGTACCTACATAGGGAGTACTCGTACGAGTGGTGACTGTTACCCCACTGGTGTTAGCCCAGCTTCTCTGTCCCCATCCACCATCTTCTATTACCTCTAAAGGGTGGACCTGCCTCTAAGTAAAGACGGCCGAAAAGGACAGCTTGGTGAGCCTAAGGACTCCATGGTGCCTGTGGAAATATTGTCTGTAGAGCCCTAGTGCCCATGGCCTGCAGCTATCATAATGCACGCCCGCACCATCCCCAAGCCGTAATTCTGCAAAAAAAAAAATTGTTGCTTGTGTGGTCCAGTGCCTGTTTTCTTTTCTTGCTTTTCCCACCTTTTCTGAGCAATCATCTGTCTGAAGCAAACCACACGCTCAAACCCAGTGACGCCCTTTCAACACCTCGCATACTCGGTACATGTGTCAGATCGCACATATCGACATCTGACATCGCTTTCTCTGCACTGCCAGCGCCTTGCCCCCCATTGGCCCGAAATCCCCGTCGCTTCCACCGCGTTCGCCCCCAAAGAAGCAACCACCGCAGGCCATCCCTCGAGAAGTCACTTCTCAGCCTCGAGACATCTTCGAGACAGGCCCCGACCTCTCACACAGTTAAGAATATCCCGCTGTCCTCGAAAAAGGCAATCAGCCTCCCGTCTCTGTCGAAATCGCTCGCAATTCCTCCGATAGACCGGTAAAAGCAACGTCCGCTCAGTCAGAGAACGGTCTTTGCAAGGTTTGCTTTTCTCCCAAATCACCCCTCAATACCCCGAACTGCAGGACTGATCAGCGACTTCTTCCCCCCGACGGCAGGTCTCCTAACAGCAAATCCTCCCCTGCGTCTCGTTTTCCGTTGATCGACTGCCGACCCTCAAAGATTCCCCTGTCTGATTCCGATCCCTGTGCAACTTGCAGTGCCTTGCATTGCTGTTAAGATTGCTGCTTGCCGATCGACACCCAACGGCTGACCTGTTGCGACGGACGGCTTTCTGTCCTGCCCTGCCGCTTGTCTTGGACGCTATTCGATTGAGTCCCGAGTCAGAGGAGAACATTCACAAAAGAGATCCGCCGTGTCACCAGCTGATCGCATTGACTTGCCCTCTTTCAACTGGTCGAGTCACCAGCGGTTCTGTCGAGGTCTAGGCCAGACCCTCATACAACACACTTCCCGCAGCCGGCGACTTTATTAAGGTACCCATTGTTCAACCCAACGCAGTTGCGCCCTTTCGCACAAGCGGATGTGTCAGTGTTGCTTGTCGGGCCTGTCAAAATCTCTGTGAGACGTTCCGAAGCACGAAGTTGCAGGTTTACCATTAGCCCACCCCAAGTCGGCATCGAGGACTAGCATACATCATGACGGGGAAAATGACCCTATATAAGTTGGTGGTGCTAGGAGATGGCGGTGTTGGGAAAACGGCATTGACCATTCAGGTTCGTCTGCAGACTTCCCCTTGGGTCGGCTGGTTGCTGAGTCCCCCTTGCAGTTATGTCTTAACCATTTCGTCGAAACCTATGATCCGACCATTGAAGACTCTTATCGGAAGCAAGTCATGATAGATCAACAGGCTTGCATGCTTGAAGTTCTCGATACTGCAGGACAAGAAGAATATACTGCTCTGCGTGACCAATGGATCCGGGACGGTGAAGGATTCATCCTCGTCTACAGTATCACTTCGAGAAATTCTTTCAGCAGAATCCAGAAGTTCTATTCCCAGGTACAGCGAGTCAAAGAGTCGGGCCATCCGAATTCTCCCACCGGCGCGAACTATCTCCAGTCTCCAATGCCTGGACAATCCACCTACAATGGCCCTCCCATCATTATGTTGGTCGGCAATAAGAGCGACCAGCATCATGAACGCGAGGTTCCTTTTCAGGAAGGCCAAGCACTGGCCAAAGACCTGGGCTGCGAGTTCGTAGAAGCATCGGCTAAAAATTGCATCAATGTCGAAAAGGCCTTCTACGATGTCGTGAGACAGTTGAGGAGACAGCGGCAATCACCTATGAAGCCAATTGACCGGAAAGGCACAAACTATCTGTCACAACCTAGTCCACGGAACAACTTTGACTCCGATCACCAACGGATATACCGCGATCACAACAAAAAGCGAGGGACTAAATGTGTTATTCTATGAATGTGAAGAAAGTTGAACCGACTGCCCGGGGATCGGTACTTGATATGAAATCATGAGCCATTCAGGTCTAGAGCTGGCGACGATCTAACAATGTCGGGATCTGTGTTGCAACCAAAAATTATCTGTCATCCCCCGGAGTTCTACCTTGGTCATCTCGAGGGACGCACAGTACCGCCTCTTATGCATGTGGACGTTAAGATGTTCGATCTGTCGGGATACGGAAATCCTCGGCATTTCTTGTTCACACGGTATCATTTTCGCTTGTTCCCTCCATCCAGCTCCCTTGACAACCACTTGCGTCTCACCGCTCGTCTTGGCTTGAAAGTATTCATCGGCACGAAGCTTAGTGCAGCGACCAGACTCATCACCATTGGAGAAGACAGTATATGCTACAGTACAGCAGCACCATATATCAATTTCCAGTGTACAATATATTCACGCCTAAGATACTAGAAAGGGATATGTCTCAGTCCCAGAAGCTTCCCATGCCCTGCTTAGCCTCAAGCGAGTGTGCATGTCTTGGCAAGCGTGATACGACAGCTTTTCATGAGGTAAGGGAGGATAAGAATCTTGATGGGTGTGGAAAGTGGTTGGCATGGTTCGCTTCTTTAGAAGGCTCTCCCACGACGCCGGCACAACACCCCTATCCGGCATGGCGACCTAGATTTGGTGTCGGGGCCACGACAAATGTGGCACGGACCCAGGTTTTGGAAGCCGCAACTTGAAGCCGAGGTCGTATTTGGTCGACCTTGAAACTGGCATCAGAGAGGTTGGCCAAAAGGAAAAAAGGGAGAGACATGGTGTTTAGGAGGGGTATTTCGGACCTCGTATGGCTATGCTCGGGACTAGAAGCGAAGGGGATCAAATCAGTCCTCAAAGAATCGGGTTGGTTCGAAGGGACCAGAAAACAACCAGGCACAAACCTCTGTAGCCTACCGTACTTGCAGCTAGTTAGACCGAATGAAAGTGTAAGTATAGCTAGAGAACCGGGGTCGTGGAGAAGTCTCGGGTGCTGTCAAACGGTCAAACTGGACTAATATATCCCCTAGCTGGCTTTTATCCTTTGCGCCCAACGTCCCTGGACGGCTCGCGACCGAATCAGACACGACACGAGCGGTGCCGACATGGCGGGCCCGATGGACTCAGGGCAACTCGTATTCCTCTGGGGGGAGAGCGTCGAAGCTTTTGGAAGGGAGCAGTGAAGAGTGGAAAGGGAACGATGAAAGGAAAAAAGTAAAATTTCCCACTAGGGCTTCACGTTGGCAAATAGATTTCCTTGAGAGGACAAACAGGGCTCATTCATATACAAGTACGAGGAAATCCAATTCCAGCTGCCCGGCATCCATTCGAGTGCCAGTCTTGTGGAAAAGCATGTGGCTTTGCGGGTGCCACCCTCTAAGGGTTCCTTGCAATGGGTAAGGCAGGACGGAGACGATATAGTAGTACCCGAATACTTAGAACAATCCCTTGGGGAACAGGGTTGGGTATGTGCCTGGACGCTCTGCGCCGATATGCATGTCTTTGCGCCTCCAATAGCTGGGGAGCGTCAATCACACCACTGCGGTGCTCATATGGATGTAGGCCGATGGACACAAGCCAGTAGGCGCTGCTTCAACACCCTGTAGATATCTCGGTGCTGTGCGTCCCAATCAGAATCTCGAGGACGAGCCGCCATACATTTCTTGATGTATGTACATAGACCAAGGCCTTATCTGCCACCGCGCTTGCTTGTCCTTCTTCTGCTCCTCTCCTTGACCTCCTTCGCTGTCGTGCATCGGAAGATACCGAGAGAATGGTGGTGGGCATCCATGTGCAAGTCCTGGAAGTATTCTCCGCGCCATAGGCCCCACCATGCCCCATCCTTTCTCGTGTTCCATGTCCTCCTCGATTTTACACAATCCTTTTCCCCTTCTTGGGTGGCGCTATCTATCGTGTCTGTTTCCTCATCTGCGTGCCTCTGACAAAATAGGAAAAGATCCGCATCGTGATGGTGTGCGAGCCACGTTGCAGATCCATGTGGTTGGGGACCTGCATACGGGGTTTGTCCGCTGGATCGGCATTTGGGAAATGGGTGTGGTTACTCGGTACCCTGGGAAGTTCCGCCATGGCGCACTGTCGCGTGCAGGATCCCAAGAGTCCCACCGGGGATAACGGTAATGGAGGTCAAAGTACTTCGTAACCGTTTACTCACGAGGATGAATGCCGAGAAGGGAAATGTTGTGTCGGAAGGATCATTCAGTTGGTAAGGCTGCCCCCTGCCGAGGACTGAAGATTCAGATGTCAAGGGGCAAGGCTGGGGAAAACACACTGGGCTAGCTCGTAGGGGGCGAGGGGCCTTCTTCTTCACATGCTCTCTTTGCTGGCAGAGGCCGATGACAGGAAGGACTCGGGCTCTGTTATCATTGTGTCGCCGTTTCCTGCAAGGGAAGGGCGACTAATCCGCTCGGTTCGCTCAAGCCACTCCGAACGATCGAGAAATGTGCACGAGCTCAAGGTGATTGTGTACCTCGTACATTGGCGCATTGGACAAAATTCATGCTCTTGTTGTGATGAGATGGTGCAACGAATCCGAAGTAAACGGGTTTCTCAGAGCAAAGTGCGAGCTGCCCTTCTTCAGTCTTTTTCACTCGGCCTTGTCACCTGCTAGAGAACCCTCCCAACCGATTTCTCTCAACCTAGTCGGCTTGAAAGTTGAAACTAGGGACTGATGCAAGTGCGAGAACGTGTCTACATCAGAAGTTCGTCGACGTAATTAGACTAGTCCGCAGTGCGTCCTCACGGCAAGACACTGCCGCATGTGTCGGTTTGCAAGGCTGTTGCCATTAATAGGACGGATGAGTTTGCACAGGATTGTGTCACACTTGCCCGCTGGGGTGGATGCAGGAATTTTAGAGACCGAATACAAAATACGAGGCCCTGTGCGACCGTGTCGTTCCAGGCTCCCAAGGGGGGAAACAGGACAAAGCCATCATCTCCCAACAAAGAAACACACGCCGGAGGAGACGTCTTCTTGAATCTTCAAACAAGGCAAGATGCCCATGTCCGCCTCTTTAACAGATATGTCTCAGGAGGTATGCAGATGGAAGACGGAACTTCTCAATCCGAAAAGGGAGTCTTCGGGCGACTGTGATCGTTTGGGTGCATCGTCAACTTAGGCGAGACGACGGCGTTTAGAATTTCAACTGCCGTGCCGTGCGGCGTGGCAGAAAAGCAGTGGCTAGGCAGTCGGCGGATAGATTGTTGAATTCGACAAAGTTCCACTTTGGTACGCTCCAAGTTGGGAATTTGGGAGAAACAGTACGGAGTATCTTGTGAACTCCAGCAGAATCAGCAGCCGCCATGATCGCTATGCGTAGGCCATCAGGCTCCTCCATAAGACACAGCAAAACGCCCCAGGTGTAGGCTCGTGTCGCAGACGACTGCGAGACCCCCAAAATTTCGTCATATGAGAAATCAAAGGTCGGAAAGCGCATTCTGGGACATTCGCCTTTTAACGCGGTGCCGGCTGATAGAGGAACTCTGCTCCTAGGCCAACAGAAATCATTGAAATGAAAGATGGCAAAGAGTGTGCGCATGTAGTATGTGTGTCGGCGTCTGCGGCGAGCACACGACCAAAAAAGCTCCGGCCATGCATTCGCCAATTCTAAGTCACTTGTGAGGTCGTGCCGAATTTACCAGTCAAGTTCTTCAATTGGTAAGCGTCACCACCCCTTCTCAGCATCAGACTTGCATAACCCAATGGGAAGGGTGAAGGTCCAAACTTCTCCAACCGGTGCGAACCCAAGGACAGCTTCGCTGCTGGTCCTGGCAGGTGTATCTCCTGGTGTTTGATCTTAGGCGAGCGAAGTTTTGGTCCGGCTTGGGACCAGAAAGGAGCCAGACGCGATCTTCCGTCCAATCAAAAACCTCATCACACAGGAACTGATATGGAGTTCCATGTCTGCACGCCAGAAGGTCGTTGTGCGGCCCGAAGCTTGACGTGCATGTTGGGTGGTGTGACTTTGCTGCCGTCGAACTGCACAGGGAACCTGACGCTAGGCCTCATACCGATTGTCCACTCGTTCGGGTATCGCTTTTTCCTCGCCAAAATGCTCAGGCTTCTGGTCGTTGTCCGCGACGTGTACTCCTTCCTTTATCCTTCTTCGGAGACGCGGCCATATCATGTTTCAGGTGTGATATGACTCTCTTATTTGTTTCCTTTTCTGCCTCAAGGGCCGAGATTCGAGCTTGCAGCTCTGCAATCTTTTTATCTTTGACCTGGACAGCCAAGCGAGTAATGTCTCGGCCCTTAATGATGCCTTGGGTGCGCAGGTCGTGCTTATTGAGGAGATCCACCAATTCCCTCTCAACTTGTGAACTGATTTGGGAGTTTCTCAATATATTGAGCGCTTCAGAAGCAAGAGTGGATGGCTCCGTTTCGGGCAGCATATGTTGTGCAGCTCTTTTAACCTGGGTACTAGATGGCGAGAGCAAACCGCCACCCGCAAATTGATAGGTGGTGGTGGGAGTAGTGAAGATATCGTCGCTGAGAGGCCATGCCTCGCTAGCAGGGACGGCCTCGTCTGCCGCCTGAACAAAAGTACTTTTGCCTGGCGACGTCAGAGTCCCTGTTCGAGGAGCTTTCTTCGGAGTCTGGAACGGCGTCTTCTCCAACATGTCTTGTTCAGCCTTGATCAGTTCTTCGTCATTGCTGGAAGACCATTCAAAGCTCTCTTCATGCTTAAAGTGTACCGGCTCTTTCGTCTGTTGCCTGTTGATATTGTTGGGCCCCGTCTGCGGTGTAGGAGGCAGAGCGCTAGGATCTTTCTTCTGAGGAGTGTGTAGAATGGGCGCAATTGGTTCCGACCGAGAGTTACTGAGGACTGCAGCTTCTTCTCGGATCTTAGCATCGTCGTTCCATATGAAGAAATCGCATCGTTCGGGCCGCGGCTTTTGACAGGTGTAGACTATCGCAATACATCAATATCAGGCCAATGTGCAGACATGATAATCGTACACCA